CGTGTGTTTTAACAAGATAGCATTATTTGTAACTATGGCTAATAGCTGTGTATGTAATGAATGTGCCAGCCTGTAAAGTTTGTTAATCAGGCTGCATTTATTTACTACTGACCTACAGACGACTGTACATTTGTTGTATGCAAATATTTTCACCTGTGTGTAATGTTATTGTACATGATTTGTAAACAAATCTGTTATAGAGAGGGGTTTTAGTCGAAATGCACTTGTCGAACCGCATGTCCAATTTCGCAAATCCGAACCGCTTAAACTCGAACCGCGCTCGAAGGTGATTGGCTCATGACTCGTCCCAAATGTGTCCTCCCAATGTCCCGCAAATGTCCACGTTAGTCCCCAAAGACCCCTGGGGGCAAGAAATGGGACTCATTGAACCGTCACCCCAGAATTCCAGAACGACCCTTTCGGGACACCCCCATTATTGAAATGGGACTCTTTCTCGCGGGATGGTTTCGGGAAGCTTTTGGGACCTGGGATTTTGGCGGTGGGGTTGCCAATTTCAAGGTGCTCTAATAGCTCAGGACGTGTCACCTGCCTCGATCGATCCTGCGCAGGATCGATTTTTTATTCGGTTCAAAAAGTTTTCAAACAAATTTAAATGCAACACGCGGGATTTTAGTGCGGTGGACTATCGATCTTCCTCGATTTCGCACGATCGATCGAGGGAGGTGACGCGTCCTCACGGGGCAGAATGCCTCTAGCATGTGCAAATTGAACCAAGATCTTGGTTGCCTGACGCGCAATACGACGCGTGCCGCGATCAAGATCAGTAGAGGTCTCTGCCTCAACGAGCTGAAGGACACCATCATCGTCATCTTCTTTATTCGAGTGCACCACCAGCCCTACTGCCATCGGCTCCGATGTTGGCTGATGGTCGTCCACAGTTGTCAACTCCATTGGCCCCATTTCCGGCTCTGCAAGTTTAAGCTTCTGGATATCTAGTGATAAATCAAGCACTTCGCCTTGTGAAATCACAGTTGCCTTATCCATGGTCTGCGAGGTCACATGGCTCATCTGTGGAAGCCAAACTGACGGAATGCACCCTGTACGTGCCCAACATTTCTGAACAGTGGCAGCTTCAATGGAACCCCATAACTCTCCAATCCAAATCACGGTGAGTCTTGCACCGGGCTTTTCGCATTGAAGTTCCAAACCTCTGATGCCTTGGTTGAATAGTGAGATCAGCTTCAACATCCACCGGTGCCTGAATCGCATCTTCAGCGTGGCAATGATGCCTTGATCCAATGGTTGAAGGAAAGTTGTGGTGTTGGCACGAAGATGTATGATCCGAACATTCGACATTTTGAAAGTCCGCATCCCCATCAACGTTTCCTCCCGTCTAACAGCAGCATCAAGCGCGTGGGAGGAAGCGTTATCCATCAGGATGACACACTATCGTCCTTGCACGAAAAGGTGGCGTTCACATTGTCCATGCATTTTGCAAAAAGCTGTAAATTTAGGAAACGCAGACAAGGCGGTTCTTAGTAGTATCAGAATCTGCAGTCAGAAGGAGAAATGAACAAAGGAGGATTTGCACTAGCAGCAGTTGGCATACATACAGGAAACCCTGATTGGGTTGTACTCGCTATAGAGTACCCCACTGCAGGCTAGACAATTATACCATTCCGACACACCCCCATAGCCAAAGTGGGGTGTAATCAGCACAATGAGCAAGCATAGTAATAGTTCACAATTACAAGCAAAGCTAGAGGCGATCACAGAGGGCAAGTGAGGAGGAGGAGGAATTGTGATGGGAGAGAAGATGGGAGACGACGGCTGAAGCTGCAGACACACGGGCAACAGGAGGACTGGCACAGTGGCTACCGAGCGCACGAGGGCACAGGACTACGGGAGTATCTGGCTCCGCGGCTACGACAAGCGGCAGGAGCAACGGACCCACAGGCGACTGGCTCAGCAAGGCTCTCTGGGCTACCGAGCGCACGAGGGCACCGGACTACAGGCACTACGAACAACATGACGGCGGCCTCCTCTCAGCCTCCCCAAACAGTCCCACCTCCTTTCCACACACCCCCTGCTACACCCCTAGCTCCACTCCCCCGTCACCCCCCTTCAACCCTAAACCCTCGGCTCCCACACACCCACCCCCCTCAGCGGCAGCTGCAGCAGTGGGAGACGGAGGAGGAGGAGGAGCTGCAGGTTACCCACACCGGTCACCCCCATGCCCGCCACCCCCAAACCCTAACGCAGGCAGGAGCGCAGGAAACAGCAGGGGCGAATCACGGAGGGAAAGGGAGGCGGCGGGGTGTCTCCTGGGCGCCACGAAGAAGCAGGGCGCGGGCCCCCCGAGGGCACCACGGCGGGTGACAGGAGGGGGGCCGCGCACGGGCCCCCGAGGGCGGCTGGACGGGCGACGGAAGGGGCCGCGCGCGGGCCCCCAAGGCGCCACGACAAGGCAACGGGAGGGGGCGGCGCGCGGGCCCCCAAGGCGCCGCGACGAGGCGACGGGAGGGGGGCGACGCGCGGGCCCCCAAGGTGCCGCGACGAGGCGACGGGGGGGGGGGGGGGGGGGGGGGGGGGGGGCGCACGGGCTTCCAAGGCGCCGCGACGAGGCGACGGGAGGGGCCGGCGTGCGGGCCCCCAGGGCGCTGCGACGAGGCGACGAGAGGAGGACGACGGGGGCAGCGCGCAGGTCCCCAGGGGCGCCACGACGGGTAGGAAACCGCCGCGCGCCTCGGGGCGGCGGGCAGAAAACCGCCGCACGCCCCGAGCGCACGGCGGGATGAAAAACGCCGCGCGCTCCGAGCGCGCGGCAAGAAGATAGGGTCGCGCGCCCAGGGCGCGCGACAGCAGTAGAGCAGCGGAAGCATCGGGTGGGGCCCACCCACAGGATCGACCCAGGAGGGTCGACCTGCTCTCATAGCATATGAGAATCAGCAGTCAGAAGGAGAAATGAACAAAGGAGGATTTGCACTAGCAGCATTTGGCATACATATAGGAAACCCTAATTGGGTTGTACTCGCTATAGAGTACCCCACTGCAGGCTAGACAATTATAACATTCTGACAAGTAGTTGCCAACAAGGAGGCACATGAACGCATGAATGCTCAACTATCCGTGCGGTCAGGTTCTCACCTCTTTATTCATCCACCCTTTGCGGTTCCAGCACCACTTCATATGTGATTCAACGTCAAAACCGTTGAAGCTGCGAGGACGTTGCACCTTCGCGATAACCAAGGGTCTCCACATGTCTGAACCATCAGCATTGCATAGCAGTGCGACAGTAAGGCGGTCTTTGCACCCCTTCCCTCCAGCAAGCGTTTCCACAACGTATGTGCGTCTCGGCGTTAGTGTAGGATAGATGGCGGTCTCATCGAAGTTGTAGGTGTCTTAGTTACAATAGTAAGCATAGTGAAGAGCCATAGCTAGGGTTTAGCTAGCTAGGCAAGAGAGAAATGAAGAAAGGAGGGGTTTCACTAGCAGCAGTTGGGATACATATAGCAAACCCTAACAGGGTTGTACTCACTATAGAGCACCCCACTACAGGCTAGATAATAACATTCTGACACACCCCTATAGCCAAAGTGGGGTGTAATCAGCAGAGCACACAGTCATAGAGCAGGTTCACAATGGCAAGCAAAGCTAGAGGCTATCACAGAGGGCAAGTGAGGAGGAGGAGAGTACTGTGGACGGAGAGAAGATTGGAGGCAACGACTGAAGCTGCAGAGGCACGGGCACAGGAACGGCTGACTCAGTGGCTACCGAAGCAAGGGCGACGGACTACTGGAGTGACTGGCTCCGCGGCGGTCAGAAAACCCGAAAAAAAAACTGCGGCAGGAAGAAGGAGTCGCACGCCACGGGGCGTGCAACAGACAGAGTAGCAGCGGAAGCAGCTAGGTGGGCCCACAGGCCAGGAGCGTAGATGCTCTAATAGCATGTTAAGATACTAGCACAAGTGGTAGTTAGGTTTAGGTAAGGCCTAGGCTTAGTAGCCTAGGCCAAGGGGAGTCGAGAGAGTTGTAGCAAGGAGAAGTGGGAATGGTGTTCACTATAGCACTAGGGTACATATAGCAAACAGAGCATGCAAAGAAGGTGCACCACCAACAGTTTATAATAACTACACTAAACTACAGCTACAGGCAGTTACATATATATTCTAACACTCCCCCATAACTGCCTGCAGCAGGAGTTTGTGCAGAACACAACTTGCAGGGGTACACCAGCAACAGCAACAGCAGGCATGGTAACAGAGCAGGTACAGTAGCAAAGGGACAGGCGACAGCAAGACATTCCTGCCACCCCCTTACTCTCTTCCCCCCCCGACCACAGGAGGGGCAGGAGGGAGAGAGAGGAGGCGGGCTGGCTCTAGCTGGTCACCCCCTCCATCCCCTCACCCTCCCCCTCCCCCTCCCCCCCACACTGCTGCAGGAGCAGTTTTACCACCCCACCTCGTGCCGTGATTTGTCCTCCCAGGACGTCACCTTTGATGAGTCGGTGCCTTACTAACGTCTCTTCCCCTACCGCACTGCGCCCCTCCCCCCGCCGCTGCTCTTCCTTGCGCCAGGTCCCCCCCCCGGTAGACCCCCTCCCCCCTCAGGGTCCTGCCCCGTCAGGTGTGTCCCAGGTAGACGCAGTCGAGCCTGTCGAGGTAGCGGCCAGGCTGGGTAGGCTTCTACGGCCTTGCAGCTGGGACGTATGGGGCACTGGCCCCACAGACGGCAGAGTTCCTACAGATGCTGGCGACACATGCGGCAAAGGCAAAATTCAGGGCTGCGAAACCAACCAAAACTGCAGCCAAGCTGTATTGCCACTACCGCCAGCGCTGGTCGGTCATGCAGCAGCGTTGCCAAGCAACAACCCTGCTGGCCAAGTCCAGCCAAGCTGCCAAGGAAGCCTACCCACAGTCCATGGCTGACCCCTGGGCCCCACGCCTAGGGGATCTGGCTCAGACCCTCGAGGATGAGCTGGATGGGGCGGAAGACTGGGGGACGTAGAAGGCTGGGGGGGAAGGAGAGGGAGAGGGAGAGCTACGGGCTGGAGGTAGTGACAAGGGGGGACATGGCAGGCGGGACAGGCATAGTGCCAGAGACGGGTCAAGGGTAGGGGGCTGGACTAGCCGCCAGGATGGTCTTCGGGTAGGTTAGAGGACAGAATCAAATGGGTGCATGTTTGCCCGTGGGATAGCTTGACTACTTGTGTGTTTGCTGGCCTGCTCGTTCGCCTGCTTGCTCACAGGCTTGCTTGTTCCCTTGTCTGCCTACCCGGCAGCATGCTTGCTGGTTGTCTCTCTGCTGCTTTGGTGGCTACCTTGTCTGCCTGCTACTGTGCTGTCTCTGCAGGACTATCAGTCTGGAAGTTGGTAGTAGACTCCCTTGCATGCCTAGGACGATCTAGCATTTGCACTTACCATGCCTGTATCCTTATAAACCCATCAATGAAGGACCGCTTGAGAGAGAGAGAGAGAGAGAGAGAGAGAGAGAGAGAGAGAGAGAGAGAGAGAGAGAGAGAGAGAGAGTGAGAGAGAGAGAGAGAGAGAGAGATAAACGATCATCGCTTGTTGCTGCTCACCATGTAGAGCTCGCCGTTCGCAACGACAGCGCGCGAGTTGGCGGCAGCGGGTTGAGCAGCCAGAGAATCGCACGATCAGTGAATACCGCCAGAGAAGGGGATGGGGGGAAGCACGGAAGGGGATGGGGGGAAGCAGGGAAGGGGATGGGGGGAAGCAGCGAAGGGGATGGGGGGAACCAGCGAAGGGGATGGGGGGAACCAGCGAAGGGGATGGGGGGAAGTAAGGAAGGGGATGGGGGAAGCATGGAAGGGGATGGGGGGAAGTAGGGAAGGGGATGGGGGGAAGCAGCGAAGGGGATGGGGGGAAGCAGCGAAGGGGATGGGGGGAAATAGGGAAGGGAATGAGGGGAAGCACGGAAGGGGATGGGGGAAAGCATGGAAGGGGATGAGGGGAAGCAGCGAAGGGGATGGGGGGAAGAAGGGAAGGGGATAGGGGGAAGCAGGGAAGGGGATGGGTAGAAGCAGTGAAGGGGATTGGGGGAAGCAGGGCAGGGGATACGGGGAAAGAGGGGATAGGATGGGCGGAAGCACTGCAGGGGATACGGGGAAATAGGGAATAGGATGGGGGGAACGGGGGCAGATGCCGGGGAGAGAGCTGGGCGAGGATGGGGGGGGAGCAGAGAGGGGGTTCGAAACGTTGTTCCATTGGGGTGGCGGAGGCGAGCACCTCTGGTCCTCCCTCTCTGTTCCTACCCCTCTGTCCCACCCCTTCAGAAGGAATGAGTGAGGAAGGATGGGCTGGAGATGGTGAGATGGGGAGGGGGGAAGAGCGGATGGAAACGCGGATGACGAGGGGAAGCGAGGGTGGCGAGGGTCGGCAAGGGTGATGAGGGAAAGCGCGAGCGACGAGAGGGAATGTGGGTGACTAAGAGAGGTGAGGGCGGCGAGGATCGGTGCGGGTCGTCGATGGTGATCAGGGGAGCGCGGGTGACGATCTGAATCGCGGTACGTTTACTATCAGCGATTGCGACGAGGGGATGTGTGGTTAATGTGGAAAAGCGCGGGCGACTAGGGCGACCAGAGGGTCGGCGAGGGTGATGAAAGCGCTTACGACGAGGGGATGTGTGGTTAATGTGGAAAGCGCGACCGACGAGGAAAGCGGTCTGGCGTTCGAAAGAACGACCGACGAGCGGGAACATATGCGACTATCGGCAGCGTGCATCACGCGAACCAGTACAGCGTTTGCGTAAGCGACCCATGCCTAAAACGGTACGATAGTGACACGAGGCTGAACCGCAACAAGTGTGAGAAGAGCCTGCATATGCGACGCGAGCTTGAATGCAAGACGCGAGTAACGCGAAGATCGTTCACTAACGTAAGTGCCGCGGGTGAACCAGGGCTCTGGTTAGCAGGGTGAATCACCCTTACAACCCTTACTATAAGTGTAAGGAATTTTCCCGAATTCCTTATCGGGGTTGACTGCTTCGCGTACAACCCGATTTTCGGAGTTCGCACGTTCGGCCGATTTCAATGCTGCCGAGGCTCCTCACGTCGCCTTCGGCTTTCCCATCGCCAAACCTGCACCCAACCTCGCTCGTCCGAGGTTTCCTCCTAGCTAGAGTAGTCCTACATTAGTCTGTGCATTCATTGTATTCGCAGTTTGATTCAGTCACAGCTTCGTTATTCGTTTACCTGCGCACTCTCTTTTACAACTCATTGTCAGAATGAGAAACAGGAATGGTGTGACTAGCAAGAACAACAGTACAAATATGAAACCCTAAACTGGTGTACCCCCTATGGTGTGACCCACTACAGCCTAGAACCACACAAACATATAATGTTTGACACACCCCCATAGGCAAAGTGGGGGAGACCTAGGGGTCACAAGACCAGTCAAGGCAAAGCAAGGCAAACAAGCTCAGGGTGGATCTCAAGGATTCCACACAAATTCCGAGCACAAGTAAGCGGTCACAAGACCAGTTCACATGCAGTTTTATAATAGAGCAAGAGGTACAATGATCACAACCTAGCAAGGGCAAACATGCAGGTATATATATAATGATTACAGTACAGGCAAAGTCAAGAAGTAAGCAAGTGAGGAACAGTCGGCACAAGGCCTAGAAGAGTGCAAAAACGCTGATGGTCAACAGGCGGAAGCGCCTTGGTGAACACATCAGCAGTGTTGGCCTCAGTGGCCACGTAACGCAGAAGAAGCTGACCACGCTGCTGTAGCTCTCGAGCTAGAAAGTAACGCAGAGCAATGTGCTTCGTCCTGTGCTCCAGTTTGTGCTCCTGACACAAGGCTATGGTTGCCTTGTTGTCGACGTACAGCACTGGAGGAGAACGAGGCTGCTCTCCAAGGTCAGTCAGCAGGTAGGTGAGCCAGCGAAGCTCCTGGGCAGCCATGGCCGTGGCGTAGATCTCAGCCTCACAGCTGGAGCTGAGAACAGAAGAAGAACGAGTAGAACGCCAAGAGACAGAGCCAGAACCGAGACTGAAGGTGTAACCCTGAGACGACCGCTGAGTAGCCTGGTCGTCTGCCCAAGAAGCGTCTGAGTGCCCAGTGAGAACAGGCCGGTCTCGCCCTCCAAGCACTAGCCCCATGCCCGACGTACTGCACAAGTAGCGCAACACCCTCTTAGCTGCATCCATGTGCTCCTTCCGGTGACGGCCGGGAGCGACATAGCGTGCTAAGATGCTGAGAGGGTATGCAAGGTCAGGTCGAGTGCAGGTCATCAGGTACATGAGGCAGCCCACAAGCTCTGGATACGGACCACTCGGCTCTACGGACTCATCCGAAGGCAGAGCTGAGAGCGAGTGTCCCGTAGGCAGAGGAGTGGACTGAGGCAAGGAGTACGTGAAGCCGAAGCGCTGAAGGACCTGCTGCACCATGTGTGACTGAGTCAAGGTGATGGTGCGCCGTGCTCTGTCCCGGGTGATCCGCAGGCCAAGATAGCTTGTCAGTTCACCCAGGTCTGTCCACGTGTGTCTCTTCTGCAGCTCGGACTTCACGTGAGCGAGACCAGCTGTGTCAGAAGTGGCAAAGACCAAGTCGTCGACGTACACGAGGATGTAGAACGGCGGCAGTGAGGTGTCGGTGCGTAGAAACAGCGACGGGTCAGCAGTAGAAGGAGCGAACCCAAGAGCCGCAAGTGTAGTCCTCAGTGTGTCGTGCCACTCACGTGGCGCCTGGCGGAGACCGTAGACTGGCCGCCGGAGGCTCCACTGGGTACCAGGAGGGAACGACCCAGTGAAGCCAGGTGGGCGGCGCAGCCAGATCTCCTCGTGCAGGCTGCCCTGCAAGAAAGCTGTGCTGAAGTCAAGAGAGTGGAGCTCGTAGTCACGCTGAGCGGCGACGTGTAGCAGAACCCGAAGAGTGGTCATCTTCGGGGTCGGGGAGAAGGTCTGGAAGAAGTCAACTCCCTCTCGCTGACTGAAGCCTCGTGCAACGTAACGCGCCTTGAAGACAGACGGAGAGCCCTGCGGCCGCTTCACCCTGAAAATCCACATGCCACTGACGATGTTCGCCCCAGGTGGGGGAACCTCGTCGACGTAGGTGCCAGTGGACTTCCAGGAAGCCATCTCTGTGTCCATGGCTGACTGCCACTGAGAGGAGTAGGGACCGGCCATCGCCTCTGCGTAAGAGCGTGGGGTCGGGATGTCTGGTGCATCCGGGTCTCCCTCATGGGAAACAAGCATGGACACGAAATGGGGCAAAGCAGCGGCAAGGCAACCAAACTCCTCCTGCCTGTCCTCAAGAACGTCCGTGCCAAGAGCACACTCACCCCCGACGGACGGAGGACAGACAGACTCAGACTCAGCAACAAGACTCGCAGCGTAGTCTAGACGACACGCAGCTGCAAAGTCAACAAGCTCAGTGACTAAGGCAGACGCAGCAGCGGACTCAAAGGAAGGGTCGGTGACAACCGTAGCCAGGAGACGTGTGATAGTAGGACTGGCAGCGCGAAGGGTGTCTGACTCCGGGTCAGCAAGAGCAGGAAGAGAGGACGCAGGAGGCGACGGGAGAGCGACACGCTGCGGAGCAGTGGACTGACGAAGCGCCATCTGGTGAGTGCCTGGGACAGCAGGAGGACGCCGACGCGGGACACGACTACCAGTGGTAGCAGCACGAGCAGGCGACGCTCGACGAGACGCAGGTGACACAGGACGTGACGCAGGCTCACGTCTCTCAGCAAGACCTCCAGTCGGACCAGTGTAAGGAGCAGGCACAGGGAGTGGGGAGGCAGGCGGGAACTGTGGCTGTGACTGGACAGACGGAGGACACTCTAAGGCGAGAGGAGAACAAGGAGGAGGAGGCTGACCAAGAACCTGCTGAAGGAGCGGAACGAAGTATGGCCGTGGCCATGCAGCAACTCCCGAACCAGCAGAGACACCAGCGGCAGGGTCCTCAGGACCAGCAGAAGCTCCACTCGCCGGGTCCTCCACTCCAGCAGCAGTAGCAGCACCTCCAGTAGCACCAGCAGCACCTCCAGCACCAGGGTCCGCAGCACCCGCAGTAGCTCCAACGCCCGGGTCCTCAGTACGAGCAGCACCTGTAGCAGCACCGCCGGTAGCAGCAGCACCTCCAGCACCAGGGTCCGCAACACCCGCAGCAGCGTCAACTCTGGGGACCCCAGCACCAGCAGCTCCACTCCATAGACTGATGTGCCGAGAGTACCACTCTCGAAGCTGTGGGGAAGAGGGCGGCTCCCGCCGTGGTGGGGAAGCACGAGTACCAACTCCAGTAGCACCACGAGCCCGAGACGCACCCCGCCGGAGGCTGCAGTACCGTGAGTACCACTCACGTAGCTGCTGCGAAGAGGGAGGTCCTCCAGGCCCCTCACAGTCAACTACAACACCACCAGGCTCAGCACCCCCAGACTCAGCAACTCCAGGCGCAGCACCCCCAGACCCAGCACCCCCAGGCTCAGCACCCCCAGTCTCAGCACCCCCAGGCTCAGCACCCCCAGTCTCAGCACCCCTAGACTCAGCACCCCTAGGCTCCGCCCGCGCAGGCTCCGCACGCTCAGGCTCCGCGCTCAGGCTCAGCACCTCTAGCAGGACGCGAGTCGACAGCTACCTCGGCAGGCTCAACCGGGTCTACCTGAGAGACACCTGAGGGAGCGGCACCCTGAGGGGGAAGGGGGTCTACCACTGCAGCACCTGGCGTGAGGAAGAGAGGCGGGGGAGGGAGCGGGGCAGTGCGGTAGGGAAAGAGGCGGTAGAAGGGCACGGACTCGTCAAAAGTGACGTCCTGAGAGGGGAAGACGCGGTGCGAGGCGGGGTGGTAAAACTGCCAGCCAGACGCATCCGGGACAAAGCCAAGAAAGACACACGGAGCAGTGCGGGAGGAGAGCTTGTCCGCAGACGTGTCGCGAACAAAAGCTCGGGATCCCCAGACACGAAAGCGTGACGCATCGCCAACCTCCCCCGTCCACAGCAGTGTGGGCGAGGTCTCCGGAGCGGAGACACGGGGCCAGAGGTTGAGCTGATGCGCAGCGTACCGGACCGCAAACGGCCACAGAAAGTGGGGGGCAGCCGCGTGGACTAAGGAGGTACGAGCGACCTCCATGACCAAGCGAATGCGGCGCTCAGCAACCCCATTCTGCTGTGGAGAGGCCGGAAGCGTGAACGACTGGCGAATGCCGTGCTCGGCACAGTAGGCTGCCAAGAGGTCGGAGGAGAACTCGCCACCTCTGTCAGAGT